TTTAACCAAATCATTCAGCAAGTCCAATGTTGTATCTATTTTTGATAGTCTCTCATTGACCACATGATCTCTGAACAACACTTTCAACATAGTAAGACATTTGCAGTTGTCATACCACACTGCGACATCCATTTTAAGTGCATTGAATTGCGTATCTGTCATGAATTAATACTTGACGTATTTCCGAGCGGTATAGAAATGACTAGGAATCCCTCTTTGACATATAAAATATAAACACAGCTCACAATGTTGTAACACAACTCTCAAATAAACTTCTATTCTGTATAAACTCCAACAAGAATCCAGTATTTTATTTCATTTATTTCATTGGCACAAACGGCCCAAAGGTTGCGTCAGCAACAGTGCGCCATAACACCACAAGTGGTGCCCACAACCTTTGGAACAAAGAACAGTACAGTAAAATTACAAAACAATTATTTACAACATAACCATAAAATTGTAGGGAAATTTAAAATCAGTAAAAAACAATAAGAATCATGAAAGGCCAATACCAAACAATTAAAAATTATCGTTCATTCAGTAAGTATTGTCTAAGTTTACAAATAAAAGAATTGTACGAACAAATAACAGCATCATCTTTAATATCGGAGGGCAATGAAGCACATCATCTTTAATATCGGAGGGCAATGAAGCAAACTGAATTGGAAAGTTGTTAACAGATGAAAATTTAAAAGCGTTTGTATAATATACCGGATGAGTAAAAGTTAAAGTATATAAACGTCGGGGGTTTACATGAATATGATTACTAACGCTACTGCAATGTGTTATCTTATGGAAACAACGAAAAATAAATGAGATCAGAATAATATATCGTCTGTCCCAAAGAGCAAGCCAATTGAGAGTGATAAGTCGTTCGTTATAATTAATGGGACCACAGTGACGCCAAAGAATTCTCCTAGAGACTCTCTGTTGTACTTTTTCAAGACGATTTACGTGATCTTGACAATGAGGACTCCATACAGGTAGTCCATACTCCAAGATCGGTAAAACAAGGGATTTGTAAAGATGAGACATGGCATCAGGTGAACAATTTGCAGCAACCGAAAAAATTAAACCAACCATTCGGTTAGCACGTTTGATAACATTATCAATGTGGCTCTTCCAATTAAGATTTCTGTCGATATACACACCTAAATGTCTGTCTCTTATACACATCTAGATGTGTATAAGAGACAGCTACACAATCATTCAAGAGCAACCAAACAAACCACATATTTCGGATAAGGCAATCAATTAATTGCCTCACCAAAAATGTCATTTATCTCATATATTGTAATATTTGTGGCAAACAATA